ATGAGGACCTAATGTCGGGGGTTTAAATGGAGAGAAAATGTTTTGAGAAACGATGTACAAATGCGCTTTACACAATTGATGTGTGTATGGATTGGAATAACAGTTGTATGAGCCCCTAATAAAATGTTAAAAAAAAACAAAACACAGGTGCTCACAGAAAAAAAAAAAAAGAAATTCCTCTATTGCTACGTTCCCCAAATTTCTTCGTTGTCTAGGCCCCAAATTTAGCTGATAATTCTTAATAAAATCTTCTTTTGAGTCTTACTGGCATATCAATAACTGTACCAATTCCAAAGAAGAAAAGATGGAGTCAACATTGAAATAACAAAATATAGAAAGTTTTTGTTTTCAGGACAATTATGATAGCAACTAAGGAACAAAAAGACCTACATCCTACTTTTGATCTTTAGGGGCTCAGCACCAATATTCTTAACCTATCTCAAGAAATAATAATTTCTGGAGCAGGACCAACGTTTATAGTCATATTTGACTTGGGGAGAGAGATAATTATGATGGTTTTGGCACAGTTTTTCAATATGGAACTGAAACAGGCCACACCTGTTTGTGCTTTGGGCTTCTGTGTAATATAGCCCAGAGGCCACAGAACAATTTTCTTTCTCCCTATTAGTATTCATATCATTTTCTAACTTACAGCAAGTCTAAAGAGAATTATTGACATTATCTAAGATTGGTTCATAGCAGATCTCCTCCTCAGTCTCCATAATGCCAGTGAACATTTCTAATTGGAGCTTCAGATCCCTGGAAGGTACCTAGGTTCTTGGGGAAGTCTTCAAGATCTCTATGCTTGTCTGTGGGTGTAACTTACCAAAAAATCCTTGGAATCTTTGTCCTGATTTAGGCTTATGTTCCTCTTCTAGCTTCTTCTTTCCCAATTTAGGGAACTTGACTTTCAACTTGAAGCTTCTAGTGTAAGTGCCTGAAGATTTTTCCTGGGAAACAACACCAATAAAATGGACAAGATGTTAGTTGCTTGACATTTAGAAGCAATTGCTAAAGGCCTGGAGAAATGGTGACTAGATATGCTATCCATCCAAGCATGAGAGATACCCCTTTACTCACTGGTCACATACCCTAGACAATTGATCTTTAATCTACCAAGCTCCTACTCTAGTTAGGGGCCTTAATAAATATTTTAATAAGTCCTCTTATAAATGCCTAAAAAACAACCCCAGAGAGGTTAAATATTTCACCCGAGGTCATGTGACTAAGAATTGGAAGGGTGAGCTTAGTAGACTAACACAGCTGGTTCATATGGCACCTCTGCATAGGGTTTGGTGAGCTCCAACTCAACTCATTGGGAAAACACCTTTACGCAGGGGAATCACTTGCCTTCCAGGCCACCTGCTTCTCTGTCTGGAATTCAAAAGAGTTTCTGTAAACATAGCTCTTAATTACAAACATGGGTTCTCTGTTGGGCAAAACACGTAGGCTCTGTAACTCCATGTAACTCCAGCTCAGTCTCCCAGCCTCTTGCCCTTGCTCAAGTGTACTTGCTTTGCTACTGGTCTCAGTAAAGCATAATTCCAAAGCTAACTTTGTTGCGTGAAATCCAAATACATTTCAAGATGTTTTGATGATTGTCTTTTTAGGATTGTGTACATACCTCTGCTGTCCTTCATTAGGAGAAGAACAGAAGTCTGTTTTATTCTTCTGTTCTGTCATGTACCTTCTCTCCTTTCGAACTGACTGTAGAATTTCTTTTCCCCAAAAATCCCAAGGAAGGGTAAAAGACCTTCCCTCCCAACAAAAAACTTGGAAACATTAATGATTAATTGATTCCCACCCTACATTTACCAACCAAAGTGGATTTGAAACATCTATGGCCTGAAGGTTGAAAAGCTTGTTATTAAGTAAATAAGCAATATCTTCCTTCCTGGTTTTCTTTTACTCAGGAAGACTCACATATAAATTATTACCTGGAGGTATGGAGTGTGTGTGCCCCAATTCCCTCAATATCCAGCCTAGTTGCTTAGATCCAGAACTTGGCTAGGGAGAATTCAACTGGGCAATAATAGAGGAAGAGAGAAACACGACTTTGCTTCGATTTTTGTATAATAGTAGGTTTTTCTTCCCCGAAGAGCTGTTAATCAAGTGTAGCAGGTCACAAAGAGCTCTGGACAGTGCTTGGGTCATGAGCAAATATATAAGACAGGTCTTGAATCCTTTAAGACCTACATTTGTACATAGCTCTCCCTTTAAAATGATAGCTTGATTGTTGCATTAGTCCAAAGCTTCCTTTATGGTTGCTCACATGCATACAACCGGACTATGGGACCTGATTAAAAGGCATCCTGAGTAAAGGGTTCAAGAATTCCAACAGGTGACAATGAGTGGTTTTGTGGTGGGGAATTTCCTTTATGGGAATAATTTGCCTTATGACAAATGGCTATCTTTGTATCATTTAATTTATGAAGCACGACTCTAAATATTAGGGAATCACTCAGAGCTGTCAAAAATGACAGCATCTCTGCTATTCACATTGCAGTCACTATTTCTACGCTCACTTTTCTTTTAAGCTACAAACCTGAGAGGAACAGGAGGTGCCTGGGAGTGGTTATGTTTGGAAGATATAATCATCAGTATGGCATGGATACGAGCCATTTAGAATTGGCTGTGAACAACTTGTATGATCATACTGAATGCACCAAACAGAATTTGATTCTCATCACAGGTACTGAACAAGGGAGAGGGTTTTCAGCCAGGATAGAAGTACAGGATAAAAAATAAAACAAAATAAAAGAATACTGCTTACTTTTCTCAATCATTTTTTGACACAGAGTACATCTTTTTGGTTATTTCCCCATGGCCATCTAAGTTTTCTATGAGGTTTCTGCCTTGTCCTATATACTTAAGATGAAGGCGAAGGCTCCTTTAGGCTCAAGTTGAAAGCCACCACTGGAATTCCCTTGCTATATCAGACACTGTGACCTGGCCCACTGTAGAACTTAAGGCATCAAAGGAACAATCCCTCTTCATCCTTATTTCCCAGTCCTCAGATTACGCACCTCTGGCACAAGGATTTGATTCATCCAGTCTATCTCTGACAGCTTTTCAAACTCTTTGTCCATGGCATCCAGAGTGGCTTGCAGTATAGTTTCAACCTCAGCATTTCTTATCTGGCATAGACAGGAAAAAAAAAGTGAGGTTACCAAAGGGAAGGGGTATTTGGGACCCTAGAAAGTGATTACTAATCATAATAAAAGAATAATACAATAGTGTCTTAATTGATATCTGGAGAGTATAGAGCTCAGAAAAAAAGCAGTTAGTTAGGGCTGAATCTCATACTATCTTGTCCTCATGGCTCTAATAGAGGATTTGCCCAGGATTCTTTACTGTGCAAATTGACTGAGAAGATTTATTTTGGTTATTGTTGCTAATTTCTTAGTTTCTGCCATGATACATCACTTGCACAATTGAAGTAGACAAATAATAGAAATGGGAGTTAGTGAATGAGATTCACTGCATTATAAATCTACAGTCGTTTTTCCAATACTGAGCTCTACCCTCCTTCTTAAAAGGGAATAATAATACTCAAATGAAAAAAGCCTTATCTCCATCCCACCTCTGTGACTAAGCTTTTTTGGAAGTACATTGATATACTTAGTTAGCAGTTTCTTGCCACCTGACTGCATTTGGATATCTACGTTCAGAGATTAGGGGTCCTCATTAACTCCTATGGAGTGAGAGCCTTCTCAAGTGTTGCATGTGTTCAAATTGGGTTGTTGTGTGATACAAACAAATTTTCATACCATGAGCCTTAAAAAATCTGAGTAACAAAAGTGGTCCTGTTCCTGTCTTTCCTGCTGCCCAAATTGGCAAGGCCGTTGAGTTCTGCCTATGTATAGAAGGTGCTTCTATTGTTGGTTGCCAAGGCTGAAACACTGCAGCTTATGTTTCAGATGTTAGAATTGCTTGTTTGATTGCTTTAGCCACTCTGCAGCCTGCATTGGTAAACAATGCCAATGAAAAAGAGAACGTGAATGTGCTTTGAGATATCAATTCAGGATCCTGTCTTGAACTAAACTTTAATTTGTTGAGAAGCAAGCACATAGTCTGTTTCAGGCTTTTGCAGCCAATGGAAAAGTGGAGCAGTCACAATTAGTTATCTCACCAGAGAAAATTAAGCAAATGTACCTCTTGACTTTTCAAACTGATAAACACGTACCTATTCTTTAGGTTCAAAAAACTGAGCCTCAAGTCCATTCTCTACAAGACTGCTAAAAGCTACTGTCTATTGAGCCCTTACTATGGGCCAGATACTGCTAGGTACTTAATGTACATAAACTTGCTCCATCCTTACAGCCATCTGGAGAGATAGATCTTAGAACTTTTATTTTAAGATACAGAAACTGAGATCCAGAGAGGTGAAGTTACTTCATACAGCTAGTAAGTAGAAGATCTGGTATTTTAACCTATGACTTCTCAGGTTTTTATACTTTTCCATACCACTTTCCTACATGTTGAGAAGGGTACATAGGAACTTGGGAGATATAGGCCATCTCAAAAACGCTCACCATTTTCTGAGTTCACTGAACTTTTCTGCGCTGATTTCAACCTTCTTATGTATGTTGAAAACACCTTACTTTTGACTGGCCTGGTCTGGACCCAGAAGATATTTTCCAAAGGACAATATGAGTGAGAGACTTTAGAAAGTACATGCTGGTTTCAGTGTGAACTGGTAAAACCTATAAAGTGATACAATCAATAACAATCCTTCCTGCACAACATATCAGGGCCAACCAACAAGTGTTTGGGAAAAATACTTCCACATGTCTCCCATGCTCTAGAACCTAACACAGTGACTGTACTCAGATGTGAGGCATTGCCCATCCATGCTCCAACCTTCAGTACTCACCAAGTGTTCATCCAGGAAAGTCTTGGTATCATTGTAGAGCCCTTTAAGACTAAATGTAAGATTCACTGCATCATTTCTGCTCAGTGTCTGAGAGGAGAAGGAAGAAATAGGGCTGGTTAATAAGCATGTGGCTGGATTCTCTGTGGGAAGAAAGGGGCAGATTAATAGGATGTAGCACAACTAGCACAGAATGGGTACCAGCCAATCATACCTGATGTCATTTGTCAACTACTATAAAGCTATATTTATGTGCCTTATAGTTTAGCTTTCAGTATCACTAATTGAGTGCTATGAGTATAAGGAAACAGAAAATATAAAAACCAGAGTAGAATTTGAGGTCACTTTTTACCCTTCAGAAGCCCTGGTGGCTGTGTTAGGTACTGAACTACTAACCACAAGGCTGGCAATTGAAAGTAAGAAGCCACTCTGTAGGAGAACGAGGAAGCTATCTGTTCCCATACAGATGTAGTCTCAGAAACCCTATGGGGCATTCTATTCTGTTTTATAGGGTTGCTATGAGGCGATATTATTTTGATGGCAGTGGGGTTTGAGTTTGCTACCCCTAGGCTAAAGTCATCTTTCTTATGACAGGTGGAGGTAGGCCTAACCGTCTTTCTTCTTGAAATTTTAGGCTTTGAGTTCCAGGCCTAACCCAGCTGAGATTGGGTTCAAAATAAACAGTTAACTCATATATTAGCAGCCCCTGATCTTACACGTGGCCCTTTAAAATCTATTGCCTAGCACTAAAGTTACTTTTTGAAAGAAAGCGTCACTTTCAGCTTCTAGAAAGAAGTCACGGGAGGGTAAATTTAACAGCAAGTATCCTAATCTGGTTTTTCACTTAGGAGGGAAACTAAGGTACCTTGGAATTTTGATTCTAATGACAGGTGCTGCCATATCAGGTTACACAGGGAGGCCAAACTACTAGTAACTCTCTATTCATTGGCCATTTTTCTCCATCAGCAGGTGTGATCTATGATTATCAGGAGAGAATATGACCTCTAAAACTGATGTGAGATTCTCCTAGAAGCCAGCCTGTATCTAGAACAAGCCAAAGAATACCTGCCATGTCCTCTACTCGATCCATCAATTTCCTGCCATATTATTTGTCACCCAGCCTCTGGCGTCCCTTCATTTCCCTTTATCCCTTTCTTATTTGGTTTGACTCTTTTCCTTCCTCTGTCCTTTTTATCACCTTACCTCAATGGGAGTGCAGGAAGCTGCAGCTGCCTCATTGCCACTGTCTTGTCCATAAAATGTATCATTCAGTATTTCGGTACTGGCATTTACAGAATCCATTAGGACAGACACATGCTGGTAGAACTTGTTCAGATCAGTAAGTCTGTAATAAAGGGAAAAAAATATGAATCAGAAGTTCTGAAGGACTTCTGCCCTGGCATGCTGGTCATGGTTGGGATAAGAGTGGACAAGAAAGCCCTGAGTACTCAACTGAGACTCTATACTCTCTCCAGCTACACCTACTTTTTTGTTTGACTATTCTTGTCTCACCTCCAGAATTTAGATGCTAAGAGCTTGGGGAAGATAGGAGGCTAGATTAGAGGAGGGCAGTTGACTTCAGGAACTCTGAGACCTTCCTGATATTTAAGGGCAAGGATAAACACCCGTAGTTCTGTTCCATCTAGGGTAATTGGAGAAGACCAAATTTCATTTCTAGGCCTGCTTTTTTGTTGTTGAGAACCAAAGATCTCTTTTGCTTGGTTTGTCAGCGTCCGTCATTCTTCAGAATGTCAGGTGAGGCAGGCCAATAGACCCAAATTGACTTCCCCCTAGCCCTTCTTTGAGTTCTCAGCCTTGTATCTGCCAATCCTCTTACCTGCTGATGAGGTTTTCTGCAAGCCGAGCCAAGTGCTGCATCTGGGCATACTCTTCATCAGTAAGGCTATCTTGAGATTCCTCAAAGTCTAGCTGGGGTGGAGGAGCAGCTTGGATTTCATCATGCTTGCACTCCCACAATTTCATTGATTTCTCATAGTCCTGGAGATGAAGACAGTAGCAGACACTAATGATTAGTGAAGCTCAAAGGGCAGATGACAGTTTGGTCTCTGAGTCAGATATTTACGGAGCTAGTAGAGAAAGATGGGATTTTATGCACTCATAAAGATCAAAGCCTCAGAAAACCACAGTGGGCAGCTCTACTCTGTCCTGTAGGATTCCTATGAGTTGCAATTGACCTTATGGTAATGGGTTTTAAAGAGGATCCACATTCATGCCCCTTTTTGATCTTTTCTTAATTTAAATTTTGTTCAGTGTCTATTCTGTACTAGGCATTTTTATTTTTTATTGTTCTTGTCACTATGCTCCTCTCCAGAAGCTCCTAATAGGGCAGCACAACCAAGAAGACAGCAGAGCACTTTACGATCCCTTCTCTGGCAAATCTAAGCAATGCATTGTAGTGATAGACCCAGAAAATTTCACTTCAAATTATGTTTCTTTTATTTACTAGCTCTGTGCCATTTAGCAAATTACTGGATTTCTCTGATCCTTATTTTTCTCATCTATAAAATAGGAAAAATGAATCTACCTAATACTACTTTGGGGAGGCCCTATGGAGTCCTGCTGGTACAGTGTATTATGTGTTGGACTGCTAACCACAAAGTAAGCAGTTCGGGATTGCCAGTTGCTCCATGGGCGAAATATGAGGCTTTCTACTCTCGTAAAGATTTAGTCTTGGAAACCCATAGGGGTAGTTATACTTTGCTCTATAGTGTCACTAGGACCTATAATAGGCTTGATGACAGAAAGATTGTTTTTTAGTTTGGTTTACATGAGAAAACACTTATAAAGTGCCCAGGACACAGCAGGAAGCATAGAAACTGGCCTTTTCCTTTCCTTCTTACTGCTGTTTCTGTGGACTTTCCATAGGCCAGAGTCAAAGAAACTTTTTAACCAGAGAAAGTCTGATCAATAATGCCTTTTTTCCTTCTCCTAGATTTACAAGACTTAGCTGAATTTGGATATTTATGAACACATCATGTTAAGGAACTTTAGGGTAACTCAAATGTCATACTCAATGTACACTTTATTGAAGGAGCGGATTTCTCCATAACTATTTGAAGTTTTTATCCATCTCATTGAAGGCCTTCCTCTTTTTCACACCCCTCTTTTCACTTTTTTCCACTTCCTCCTTTTCACCCACTTTACCAAGCACAATACCCTTCTCTAGGAAAACTGATCTCTTCTGAAAACATGTCCAAAATATGTAAGATGAAGTCTTCCCAACCTTGTCTCTAAAGAACACTCTGGTTGTACTTTTTCCAAGACTGATTGGTTTGTCCTTTGAACAGCCCATGGTACTTTCAATATTCTTCATCAGTACCAAAATTCAAATGCATTCGCTCTATTTTGGTCTTCTTTATGCAATGTCCAATTGCATATGAGGCTATGGAAAATACCATGGCTTGAGTCAGGGCACCTTAGTTTCTAAAGTAACATTTTAAAATTTATTAAGGCTTGCTTTATGTCTTGACATTTGACCTATTCTAGAGAATGTTCTATGTGTACTAAAAAAAGACTGTATACCATATTTTTTGTAGTTTTTTTTTATATATGTCTAAGTGATGAGGTTGGTTAATTGTGTTGTTTAGTTCTTTTGTGTCTTTATTGATTTTAAAGCAATGTGTTAAAGTCCTCCACTGCTATTGTGGAATTATGTTTTTCTCTCTTCAATTTTAAATATATTTGGTGAACATATTTCTTTCTTTTTTTACATACATGGTAGGTCTTTTATTTTTGGAGGAATGATTCTAAAACATCACACTAAATCAAGTTGAAAAGTAAAGTTTAAAATAGGCCATTTTATGAGAATGAGTTATAACATAGGTAATGATGGTTTACAAAATCATGATCTCAGAGCATATGATACATCCAGTTGGCAGTAGCACCCAGGTTTTCCAAATTAGCCAGTCTACATAGACTTCTCATTAGCTTCCTTTTGCTTTTGTTGCATCTCAGAATCCCTCTACTTCCTTTGAGAGGTCGTCAAGCTATACTTTCTTTTTTCCTTGCTAATTTCTTTGGATTCCTTAATATTTTTCTGATGGGCAAGTCTCTTTGCTTTCCATGAGCCACACCGACCACAGGGACAGAGCCAGGAAGAGAGCAAGTTGGAAAAGCAATGGTTTCCCCACATGCACTGCTGCCATCATCACCCTTTGGTTTGGAAGGTAGAGTGCCAGCCCTTTATGGGCAGCTCTGTGCCCTTCAGCAGCCACGGAGATATGACCTGGTCTTTCCTTGAACATATGTATGTTAATTATAATGATTTCTTTCAGTTCTATTGTCCCTTTAATCATTATGTTGGGCCATTCTTTGTCTTTCAGGAAGGATTTGGTCTTCAAATCGGTTTTACAGATATATATAATTACTCCTACATTTTTGTTGCTGTCATTTGCTTGATATATTTTTCCATACTTTGATTTCTAGTTTAATTTTGTCTTTGTGTCTAAGAAAGTTTCTTATAAGCAGCATATTGGTGGATCTTGTTTTCTCATCCACTCTGCTCTTTGTCTCTTGAGTGGCATGTTTAATCCATAAACATTCAGTGTCATTATTGTTTTCTGTGAGTTTTTCACTGTCTTTTTTATGTTTTCCTCCCCACTGGGCATTTTTCGTGTGTGTGTGTGTGTGTGTGTGTGTGTGTGTATTGTTCCTATATTTCTGTGCTGTTTTGGATACTGCTTTAAGCGTGTTAATCTTTGTGTGCAGTTGTCTTGCTTTTCAATACTCTAAAGAGGTCTTGTGCAGCAGATTTTCCTAATACAACATTTCTTTTTGATCCCTTGACTGCTGCTTCCATGAACATTCATTATGGATCTTAGCCAGACAAAATCCTTGACAACTTCAAAGTTTTCTCTATTTATCATAATATTGCCTATCACTCCAGTTGTGAGGATTTAAGTCTTCGCTACATTAAATTGTAATCCATATTGAAGACTACAATCCTTGATCTTCACCAGCAAATGCTTCAATCCTTACTTTAAGCAAGCAAGGTTGTATCAATTGGCTATCACAGATTGTGAATAAATCTTCCAATACTGATTCTGAATTCTTTTTCAGATAATCCAGGTTCTCTGATGACTTTTTGTGCATATAGAGTGAGCAAGTATGGTGAAAGCACACAACCCCGATGCACACCTTTCCGGATTGTAAGCCATGCTGCATTCTCTTGTTCTGTTCCCACAACTGCCTCCTGATCCATGTACAAGCTCTGCATGAGCACAGTGTGGTGTTCTGAAATTAACTTTTTTTTTAGTTTGTTCTGATCCACACAGTCGAATGCCTTTGCATAGTCATTAAAACACAAGTAAACACCTTTCTGGTGTTCCCTGCTTTGAGTCAAGCTCCATCTGACATAAGCAATGATACCCTTTGTTTCACATCCTCCTCTAAATACAGCCTGAACCCTGACAGCTTCCTGTCAATGTATTGCCGTAACTGTTCTTGCATTATCTTCAGTAAAATTTTACTGATGTGATATACGTGATATTTTTCTATAGTTAGAGCATTTTGTTGGGTCACCTGTCTTTAGAATGGGTATAAATATGGACACCTTCCAGTCCGTTGGTAAAGCAACTGTCTTCCATATTGCTTGGCACAGACAAGTGAGTGCTTCTAGTGCTTCATCAGTTTGTGGATACATTTCAATGGGTATTCCATCAATTCCTGGATCTTTGTTTTCAGCTAATGCTTTAAGTGTAGCTTGAAATTCTTACTTCAGTACCATTGGTTCTTGCTCATATGCTACATCCTCGAATGGTTGAATGTAACCTAGTTTTTATTTTAAAGACATTATACAATTAGTCACAAGTACAGTCCCCCATTTCTTTTGCCCATATACATGAGTATTGTCTAAAGCATGCCTTCTATGTAGGAGCTAGGCCCTGCCACCACTGTGCTTGGGCGAGTTTACAAATCTGTTGTATCCTAAAGCTTCCCTGTCACTTCTCTGGCTCTCTGTTCCTGCTAAGCTTTGTTTCTTGGTTGTCATTAAAATCTGCCACTGCCATAGCTACTACTACTGCTTGAACCAACTTGGTTTCTTGGTTTAGCCAAGTATTGAGTTCCACCACCATAAGGCAAGAGCTTCTGCCTCCAATGTTTCCTCTCCTCATTGATCCAAAATTGGAAGATTGATTGTTGCAATTTCCACAATCATTGTAGCTTCTGCCACCTCCAAAATTGCTTCCATCATTACCAAAGCCATTATAATCTTTCCAATTGCCGCTATATCCACTACCTCCATAGCTGCCACCAAAACCACCACATCCACTGAAATTTCCATCTCAACCAAAGTTGTTATTCCCACCAAAACAACCTTTGCAGTCACCATCAGACTTTCCAGAACTGCTTCGACCTCTTTGGCTGGAAGAGGCATTGACCATCTCTTGATTTGACAGATCTTTCCTTACTTCACAGTATGGAATTTCTGAATGACAATTTTATCTATGGAGTCATGATCATCAAAAGTCACAAAAGCAAAGCCTCTCTTCTTGCCACTGCCTTGATCATTCACGATTTCATTTACTTAAATGTTTCCATATTGTTCAAAATAATCCCATAGGTGGTGCTCTTCAGTGTCTTCTTGGATGCCACCAACAAAGATCTTTTTCACAGTTAACTGGGCATAGTCTTTGAGAATCTTCTCGTGAAATAGCCCTCTTTGGTTCCGCAAGTCTTCCATCTATTTTGTGTGGCCTCACATTCATGGCTGCACCCACCTCCTCCACAGTAGAGTAAGCAACAATCCCAAAGCTTTTGGAACACTTGGTGTTTGTATTTCTCATTACCACACAGTCTGTGAGTGTCCCCCATTGTCCAATATGGCTCTGAAGACTCTCATTTGTTGTTTCAGAGTACAAACCTCCATTGAAGAGTTTCTACAGCTGTTCGGGCTCTTCAGGGGACTCTGACTTTGACATATTGGTAGTGGGTAGTGGACAGGGGGTGCAGGGGGCATGGACCCTTCCTCTGTGGGGTGCACAGGCAGATAAAGGTAACCTAGTTCTTTGGGATACAGTAGCTCTGTGTATTCTTTCTATCTTATTTTTATGCTTCCTGCGTAATTCAATATTTTACCCATAAAAACTTTCAAGATTGCAACTCGAGGTTTAATTTTTTTCTTCTATTATTCCCATTTAAGATATACTGAGTGCATTCTTCCTTTTTAGTTTTCTAATTCTAAGTCATGGCATATTTCATTATAATATTTTACTTTGTCTTCTCAAACTGTCCTTTGAAATTTTCTATTTAGCTTTTTGACTTTATCATTTCTTTCATTTGCTTTAGCTACTCTATGATCAAGAACAAATTTCAGGATCTCTTCTGACATCCACTTTGACCTTTTATTTCTTCCCTGTCTTTTTAATGATCTTTTGCTTTTTTTGTGAATGATATTCTTGATGTCCTCCCACAGCTCATTAGACCTTTTGTCATTCAATGCATCAAATTTGTTCTTGAGATGTTCAAAATTCAGGTGGCATAGAATCAAGGTCAATACTCAAGTGGAGTAAATTCAAGGTCATATTTGGCCCTTGTGAATTTGCTTTAATCTTCTTCAGCTTAACTTTAACTTCCTGTATTAGGACAAAACAAATGCATTGACACTCATTCGTGAATTAATTATATTATCAAGACAGTTTCTTAGTCCAGTCTAAGCCAAGACTGTCAGTCTGATACTAGTCCATAAGTCCCTTTTAAGACTCAGGCAGCCACATTCAATGATGCAGAATGAAGGAAGATCACAGGTAAGTAGGTGCAGAGTTATGCAGATCCAAGGCTGGTGGAAACATGGCAGGGCTTTGGCATCTCTCAGGGTCAGTGGCAGAGAGAGGGGGTTCAGGGTCCTCCTTATGAGGAAGATGATACCCCCAAGGATGCTGCACCAGGCTGTGACTTTATTGACAGGTTTGACTCCACCCTTACCCAAGAGTGTCTAGTTGACATACAATTACCTAATTAGCACAGTTACATATGAGCAACTGATGGGCTGTTCCGTAGTCAGACCATGGTCTGGATTTAGCTGCTGATACTGAGGTTTTCCATCATCTCTTCTCTTGGGAAGTGTTTTGCAAATGTCAGTGTAACTAGACTATCTCTAGAAGCGTGTTAGCAAATACAAGTTCCCAGGAAATACCCAGCCCATTCTCATTCAGTGATTCTCGTGTAGGGCCTCATAATGTATATTTCTAGGAAGCACCACAGCTGATTCTGATGCAGTGATGCACAGTTCAGTTTAAAGAATTCTACTTGACAGAAAGTATTTAGCACTTGCATGACGGCTGTCAAGGAGGCAGTATAGGAATCCAGGATGAGTTTTTCTCTCTTACCCGATTTCTTGTCAGCATCTGGGCACCATTCTTGTATTTAATCTTGATAAGGCCTGGCCTCTGAATCCAGGCCTCCCCATCCACTTGCACTGGGATACCTTCTTCCCCATCAATTGTTATCATCACTTCACGACACTACCAGAGAAGAAAAGGAGGGGAAATGGGGGAGACAAATGAAGCAACTGTTATACATAGAGCAAGTTGATAATTCTGCAGTCAGGTCTTTAATGGGCATCTGAGGCAGAACTAATAAGGATGTGAATTAGACTATTCCAGGAAGAAATGACATATATCCTATGGGCAAGGATGGGGACTCTAGGTGGTAAAAATAGATAATGTACTCAGCTGTGAACTGAAAAGTTGGCAATTTGAGTTCATTCAGAGGCTTCTCAGAAGAAAGGTCTGGCAATCTATTTTCAAAAAGCAGTCATTGAAAACTCTAAGGAGCAAAATTTCCACCTGATACATATAGTATTGTCATGAGTCAAAATCAAGTTTGATTACAACTTTTTTATTTTGGATGGACACAAATGGTATCAGTCTTGGGTCTACAGAAGCATTGTTGCTCTTTCAAGGCCTTACTATCCCTGCCTCCAATCTTGGTCAACACCTTGCAGTCTACTATATAACCTACTCCATCATACCTAGAAATTTTATACCCAGTTAATTTTGGGGACCACCATATACCCTGGGTTACAGCAACAAAGCACATTTTCTTCTGGTGACCAGGCAACAACTTCCTACCTGAGCAATACGATGATGATGTAGCTTGATGATACGAGACATTGCCATCTGCATGGAACCAAAAATTGCCACAACTTCCAGCTTCCCATCATCGATTGCAGGACTGTCATATTCCTGGGGAGATATATTTGTGTCACATCTCCCACCCTTGAGAATGCACACTCTACTTATTTATTGACAGACCTCCATGGAGAAAAAAATAGCATGAATTAGGTAACCTTTCAAGGATATACCAGGCTAGAGGAGTGGACAATTAAAAGCTCAGGTAACACCTATGGACTGGCCTATTCCTGAGTCCTTTTGCTGATCCTTGTGTTCTGGGATTTTAATTGCCTAGAAAAACTGATTATATAGTTGCTATTAATAAAGGTCCCTGGCCACCTCCTCTTTCCTAATTGTCCAACCCCCAGTTTCGTCAGCCCAGCTCTCCTTTCTGAGAGGCTATAGTTCCTACTTACCATGGTCGCTGTGCTGCTTCCCCAGAAGTTGACCCCTCCAGCGTAGCTGGTAATGTTGAGCACTACAATGCCCTGTAGGTTTGGCAAGGGGATGGTTTCTCCATCACACTGAAAAAGAGTAGCTCTTATTGGCTGAATCTTCATACACCAATGCAAAGGTTTATTTACAGGCATGGGAAAGGGCCCTCTCTTCTCTTCATGCTATATTTTTCTTACTCATAAAATGGAAATCGATCTTTATGCCTTGGGATATGAGTGGCATTAATGAACAGGAAGAATTCAAGATAGCAGGGACAAATGATTCTCCAGGACATGAGATTTCCTTTCTTCTTACCAACCAAGAGCTATGCCCTTTCCCACTAACCTCTAGGTGCACTCGTTCTTCTAGATTTCTGTAAGAGCGATGCAAAAGTTCCTTGCTTCCCAAAAGGCCGTACCACATCTTGTTCTTAAGGCGGCTGCTACAAGTAGATAAGAGTAGAGAGGGTTGTAAAAGCAAAAGAAAATAAAATGATACATGCATGGAGAGAAACAGGAGGGTAAACTTATTTCACAAATGTTTTCTTATAAATCCCTGTCCTATAGGGTCACTGTGAGTTGGAATTGACTCAATGTCAGTGAGTTTGGTTTGGGTTTGTTATAGAAGAGTCCAGTTGGATGGCAACTAGACACAAGAGGAGTTGCTGGGATAGTATAACTGAGATCTCTAGGCAAAAGCTTGTTGAAATGGGCCTTTTAAAATGCTTAAGCATCCAATTGATAGGTGAATTTGCCACTTCTTGCAGCTGATATTGGTGTAGACTTGGAAGAGGAAGGCCATCTAAAGAAAGCTATGCTTATAAAAAGTTGGAGCATAGCTGTCTGACACACCAGTTACCCTGATGAGTACTGCTCTAGGAGTTCAGTATTTTAGCTGCTTGGAATAAATGCCACTGTAACTATTCATTTCTTAGATTGCAAGTTGTTTGCAGCTGCAAATTTGCTGGCAAAGTGTAGGGCTTTTCTAAGCACACTACTTGTATATAAATTATTTAATTCAATTTCATATAGTAAAACTAAGCATAGCAGGTAGTTTCCAGAGAGGAACCAGAAAGACACTATGGAACAGGTGAGGATATCAAGAGAATTGGGCTTGGGGTAGAAAGGACAGTACCTTGGTGCCTGTAGGTTCTCTGATAAAAACAGGCAGATATATAGTTTACTTTAATAGTTTCTCACGTAGAGCCATGGAGAGAAGCGATGGCAGGGCAAGTGTTTTAAAATATAAAAGAGCACAAAGTTATTTTGGTTCTGTTTTAAACCAAAATATAGTTAAACTACATCTACCAAAGAACTCATTAATTCCATTCCCAGGTATATACCCAAGAAAAATTAAACACAACAAACAAACTAAAAAGAATAAACAGCATTGAACGAAGTTTTCATGTATATAAAGAGACAGATTTAGTTACATCAATATGCAAAACACCTAAGAACAGCCAAAATAATTCTGAAAAAGAACAAATTTAGGAGACTTTCACATCTCCGTTTCAAAGCATACTATAAAGCGAAACATATCAGAAGAATGGTGTGGTGGATTATGTATTGAATTGAAAGATCAGCAGTTCAAAATCGCCAGCCGCTCCGCAGGAGAAAGATGAGACTTTCTACTCCTTTAGAGTGTTATTCTTGGAAACACGTAGGGGCAGTTCTACTCTGTTCCATAGGGTTGTTATGGGTCAGAATTGACTCTATGGCAGTGAGAGACAAATACAGTATGTTGGTGGCATGGGATAGATAGAATTGTTATTCCAGAAATAAATTTTGACATTTATGGTTAATTGATTTTTCACAAAGGTGCTAACACAATCCAATAGAGAAAGAATAGCCCCACCCCCTTTTTTCAAGGATGCTAAGAAAATTTAATATCCACATGAAAAAGAGAACTTAGATGCAATTTCACACCATACAGAAGATTTGTTCTAAGTAGATCATACTTAGTGTAAGCGTTAAATATATATATTTCAGAAGAAAACTTAAGTGTATTTCTTTGAGATCTTGGTCAATAAATGAAACAAAGAATGTGGTAGTTACATAATCTGTTGTCAATTTGAGAGGATTATGCGTGAAGAGATGGAGTCTAGCCAGTCAATCAGGTCGTAGCTTGATGACCTCATTTGGAGGCGCTAAGGAGATAAATAGCTTGCTAGAGGCAGGACGTGGGCTCACTCCCTGGGAGACATTGCAGCTGACAAGGCACATGGAGCTAGGCTAGTGCCCTGAGCTAGAAGAGCCACATGGAGCCCCATGCCAGCACTGAGAAGTTTACAACGCCACTAGATCCACAAGACTTCCCACCCACTGGCTTGTGATCTTCTTCCTGCATTCAGCACCATTGCATGTGTTTCGTGATTCTGAAGAGGACTTTATAGATTGATATCAGACACATGGACTAATATCAGACTTATGGACTTGATCTGGGCTGAGCTGGGATGTTTTATCAATATTCAATTGCTCTTGTATAGGAGGCTCTTTCCTATACAAATCAGTGTCTATGAATTTGTTTCTCTAGTCAGCCTGGACTAACACAAAGAATAAGAACCATATGATCATACTGATATATATAGAAAAGGCATTTGATTTGACAATATCCGATATCCAATTCTGATAAAACACTCAATAAAGTAGAAATAGATGGGAAATGCCTCAACACAATAAAGGCAATATATGAAAAACCAAAACCAGCATCATCCTCAATGGACAAAAACTGAAAACATTTCTCCTGATAAATGGAACCAAAGATGACTTCTACCACCACTCTTATTCAACAGAATAGCCAGAACCAGTAGACAACAAAAAGAAATCAAAAGAATTCATTTGGTTAAAGAAGAGGTGAGACTCTCACTCTTTGCAGATGATATAATTTTATATGTAGGAAACACAAAAGACTTCACAAATAGATGTTAGAAACAATTGAGGGATTTGATGAAGTAACAAGATATAAGATTAATAAATAGAAATCAATTGGATTCCTATAGAGCTCTGAAAAAGGCAGAAAGAAAGCAATACCATTTATAGTAGCCACACAAATGACAAAATACTGAAGAATAAATAAACGACTGTACAAACAAAACTACAGAACATTACTACAAAACAACAACAACAACAAAACACTTTCACAAGTTGAAGAATATCCTATTTTCATAGACGGGAAATTTTAAAATTGTGAAAATGTCAATATTATCTAAAGCAATCTATAAAATAACACAAATCTGATCCAAGTCTCAACTTTATTTTTTAAAGAAATGGGAAAAGAATTATGAAGTTCATATCGAGAGGGAAGAGACCTAGAATAAGCAAAGAACTCTTTAAAAAGAAGAACAAAGCAGGAGGCCTTTTACTACCCGACCTCAAAGCCCATGATACAGTCACTGTGGTCAAAACAGCTTGGTACTGGCATAATTTATAGGTACTGAGATCAATGTAATAGAATAGAAAACCCAGAAATACGTGCATTTAACTACACACAACTAATTTTCAATAACACTCACTAGTTCACTTACCCAATTCTGACTCACAACAACCCTATAGGACAGGAGAGAACATCCCTGTGGGTTTCTGGGGGTAGAAATGAACACCTTTCTCCTGCAGAGTGACTGGTGTTTTTTAACTGCCACCGTAATGACAAAGGGCCAGAAAACATTAAATGGGAGGCCGCTCCTTCAATAAATGGCCCTCTATCTACAGAATAATGAAACAGAGCCTGTGTCATACCCCAAGCAAAAGCATGGACTCTAGCTGGATCAGAAGCCTAAATGTAAATCCCAGAGCTATAAGGATCATAAGTGGGAAAACTGGGACAAAATTACAGGCCCTACTCTAGGGCATATCTCTACACCGCCAAATATAATAAACGAAGAACTCACAATAAGAGACAAAATAGATGACTGAGACCTACTAAAAATAAGACACTTGTGCACATCAAAAGACTTTATCAAGAGTAAAAAGGGAGCCCTCTGACTGGAAAAAATCTTCAGCAACGACATAATGAAAAAGGGATGTAATTAAAAGCTATAGAATTCTGCAACACCTCAAAAAGAAAAAAAGAATATAATTTAAAAGTAGGCAAAAAATGTGAACAGACAGCTCACCAAAAATGACTCAGATAGCGAACAAATGTATGAAAAAGCACAATTACTAGCTATCTAGAAGATTCAAATCAAAATAACAATGAGATATTAACTTAAAACCACTTATAACCCAATTTAAAAACAGAAAACAAATGCTGGAAAGCATGTGGAGATACTGGAACTTTTATATACTGCTGGTGGGCTTGTAAACATATAAAACCATTGTGGAACGCTATATAATGCTACCTAAAACAACTGGGAATAGATATATCACACAACCCAGCAATAACGCTGCTGAGTATATACCCCAAAGAAGAGACACAACACAAAGAGACATATGCTCTTTCATGCTCGCTGCAGCATAAGTCATAATAGCAAGAAGCTGGAAACAGCCCAAGTGCCCATCAGTAAAAGAACGGATAAAGAAATTTTGGTGCATATACACAATGGAATATCATGAATCCCTAAAAATCAGTGTTGAAATCATGAAACACATCATGATATGGATGGACCTGGGAACCATTATGCTAAGTGAAGTTAGTCAATCACGAAAGGACAAATACTGTATCAGACCACTACTATAAAGAGAACCACAAGGCAAAGTCAGGCCTGTCTTCTGAGTCATGCACTCTCCTAATCCATTCTCCCAAGCAGTGAAGTGGTGTGCCTAACTAATGCTCATGCTCCACATATCATTTCTGTATTTGTACCTCTTAATGCCGCTTTGATAGAGAAAGCCTCACTTCAGCTGGGAGGAGAGAGAAACCAAACCGTTCCTGCCATAGTTTATGATTGGGTCACCCCAAATCAATAGACATGCCTGCACATGTGCCCAGTGACGAGAGGCAGGGGGTGGAATGGGGTAGGGTTGGGTGGTGGTGGTGATATGACTGTCTTCGAGAAGGTAATTCCACTTCTGTTGGTGGGTGAGCAAGGTGGGGAAATCTTTCATCAGAAAAAAATGTTCAACATTAGTTATATACCTAAATATCTCCCAAAGGGGAGAGAATACACTGGGAATCATATGCGTAATTGGGTATTTTTGACCTAGCTTCTATCCAGACTGTAATAATCCAGGCTGCATGCTATAGACAACCAGGATGTTAGACTCTATCCTTTTGAGGTTCACAACATCATTCATAGGCTACAAAAGAAGGCTCCAATTTGGAAACCTCACTAAGTGAAGTGGACTTTACCTTAAAATTACCTGTAGCTGATGGTGTCTGGCTATCAAAAGATATAGCATCTGGGGTCTTAAAGGCTTGAAGGTAAACAAGCGGCCATCTAGCTCAGAAGCAACGAAGCCCACATGGAAGTAGCACACCAGTGTGTGTGATCACGAGGTGTTGAAT